GAAATTTCCTTTTCTTGCACTTTTGAGATTTTATCTGACTTCCTTGATCATTTCTGAAAATGGCTTGCCCATCTAACATTTGCTTAGATTTGAGTCTCAAGATTGATACAGACGAGCAGCGTCAAGATAACATATGGCGCCCGTCCTTCTCGTCTTCTAATGGTCCTCTTACGGTTGGGGACTCTGTGATGAAGAATAACATAACTGCTACAGTGGTAGCCAGGAATCTTCTCACTCCAAAGGACAACAGAATCCTTTCAAACCGGTCTGATGAGGCGGCCGTTCAAGACTCATTGGCTCTCAGTGTTCAATGTGCGAGCTTTGTATCCAATATGGGCCAGCGCCTGCTTGCTCGAACTCACCAAGTTGAATCATTAATGGCTGAGGTTGCAAGTCTTAAACAAGAGATTAGAGGGCTCAAGCATGAGAATAGAGTGTTACACATGCTTGCAAATAATTACTCTACGAGCATGAAAAGAAAGCTCGACCAGCTACTAGAATCCGAAGGTCGGACTCAAAATGACAATTGGGGGTTCGAGTCTTTATTCCAAAGACATCCATTGTCTTAGCTGTCTGGAGTTCCACCAAGTATTGAGACTTCAAATAATCAACTTCTGGTGTTTTCCCCTTCTGGGGTACTTCCGAGTACTGAGGTTTCACATGAGCAACCTTTGTGAAGGTTCCCTTCTGTTTGTATGTTTTAACTCATGTGTATGTAATTTCTCGGAGATATATTAATATAAGCTTTATTTCATTCAGTGTATTGTGTTAAATACAATAAAGCATATATTTCACTAAGATGTGGTACTTCTGGACCAAGTATCAATGTATCTTTACCCTCGTGAAGATAAATGATCATTCTTAGTGTCTAAATCATTTGAGTATTCAACTCATAATCTTCAATCCATATGATTCTTTAATATCACAAACATCATGGATAAGATTCGTGTTGGCATATTGTTCGTTTTTGCAGTTCGAAACAATATTTATCTCAACACTTTATAACCTTTCTTGACTCTTCAGGAGTCCCAATTTAATATCATCAACTCTTGCAAGAGATTTTAGTATGTTGCAACAATACCATAATAAAAGTACTCACTAAGGCAATTTATATCATATATTGGTATTGAGTACATATTTTATGCTTTACCCTTTCGGGGCTTTCTTCAAGCAATTTGAATCCTTCAGGGATTTTCTACACTTCATGACACATTTTCCTTTAGGATTTATACAGAGCAATTCGCTTCCATGTATATTTGAGGGATTTACTCATGGAGATATGATGTGGGCGACTCATAACCCTTCGTATATAATTCTCCATTCATATGAACTCCTTTACAATCTCGTGTCATATCATGTGAGTGTATTTCATAGTATTACAAATGCTCATATGTAACCTTCTAGGTTCAACATCTTTTGGCTATTTGTATTGTATCCAAGTATATAGGTCTATTTTTCCACGTTCTTACAAAATTATAATGGAATTGCCTTTCTCCATTTTGGCCCATAATTTTGTTGATGGAAAAAGAACGGGACTCAATATCACCATAGCTCATTGATGAATTTAGTAGCTACTTGTAAAAACCAAAATTATCATTGGTTATCATCAATTTGTGATCCCATATTCTCATGTGCATGCGCATGCATAAAAACTTTTCATTTCTTTTGGGATATCCATTGCCTCTTCAAGGGCATTACACTATCTCTTCCAGGATAGTTATAATTTAGAGAATGTGGATCATAACCTCCTCTTGAGCATTATAGAGCTTGAATTTTAATCTCCATTTCGGGAGTTGAGTCATTGGAACCTATACGTCTATCATGCTTCATGCATGAGACATCAATATTCTCATGTCCGCGGATTGACCTTTCCGGGACAAGTATCCTTGCAGCAACTGTCATGCTTCTGGTATGCGACAGTTATGCTTCGGGAATGCAATAGTTTTAGTAGTGCCATATTCTTCTTCTTTTGAAGGACTAAACCTTTTGAGTTTGAGGATCTGCCACGCTTCAGGCGTGCAACAAATAAATCATTTGCTGCCATATTATTTTGTCCAATAGGGACATTAATTCTTGTAGGCACATTTGCAGCAAGCATATGTGATTTTATCACTTTCGTTACATCATTAAATGCATCTGGCATTTGATTTGCATATCGTTGCATCATTCAATTATTCTCACTTTGTTTGTATATTGATTGCTTCATGAATCAAAATACGACAAATTCTCTTCGTTCTTCTGGAACAGTTTTTTCTCATCATTCTTTTGGAATGATATTTGCTCATCGTTCTTCTGAAACAAAGTTATTTTCTCCCCCTAACGGCAGGAAAACTGTCTTATCAAAATGACAGTCCGCAAACCACGCGGTAAATATATCCCCAATCAAGGGTTTTAAATATTGAATGATAGATGATGTTTAACATCAATGCCTAATCCGCAATGATGCTTCATTTCAGTATGTTGTGGCAGTGCAATAGGCATATAGATAACACAACCAAAAACTCGTAAATATATAATGTTTGGCTGGTTCCCAAACACGAGTTGTACTAAGAAGTATTGATGGTTGTCAACAGGTCTCAACCAAATCAATAATGCATCATGTAAAATGACATGTACCCATGTAAAAACGGGCAATTTTATTTTCGTGAGCAGAGCGCGGGTAATCTATTTCATCCGCTTAATAAATGCTTCTGCTAAACCATTTTTGAGTATGGACATAAGGAACTTCTGGTCCTTATTTAATAGTCTGTAGACTAAGATTCTTATGGCTTTTATTGCAATTAAGTTGAGGCACTGCGGCACTTCAAACTTAAGGTACTTATCAAAGAACTTCATGTCCTGATCTTGAGGATCAAGGGACTTCATGCCCGATCTTTTTGTTTGATGGAACTTCAGGTCCAATCATTTTTATATGATGAGGATCAAGAAACTACAGGTTCTGATCTGATCAAGGAACTTCGGGTCCAGTATGTACTTATCGTAACAAAAAGAAGTACAATAAATTAAATTAAAACAATAGGCGGTAATTCTAGCCATAATGAATAAATTGCATTTAAGTAAATAAAGTTTGTGACAAGGACTTTAATTCAGCACCATTCACATAAATCAAAACTTAAAGCAGTAGGCGGTAAAACCGTCCATGATAAATAAATTGCTTTAAAGGAAATAAAACTTGTGAAAGGGTTTTAAACCAACACCAATTCACATAAATAACAAGAAGTATCATATCTCCTTTTATTTATTATTTTTCTTTCTTTTGTCAGCATTTATTCAAACTTTACTATTGTTACTTTTCTTATTTCTGCAACATGGTGCCATGCACCAACAGAAACCATTTATATGATTTTGACCAAATGGTGTCATGCATTATTCAAATCATCTTATATATATATATATATATATATATTTTTTTTTTTTTCTTATGTTGCAGTCAACATCCCTTTTTTCTTCTTCACATGTGCCTTGTCATTCTATCAATCCCCATTTTCTATCCTTCCTTCTCTGTCTCTGCCAGTCTCGAAACGCAGGGCCAGCTGGGTAGTTATGGAGGTTGCTCAAATTCAATTCAATCCAAAAGGCTACTAGAGACTGGCGTTGTTCTTGCATGACCCAGGGAACATGGCATCATTAAGCAAGAACCTCCCTACAGAGACATAGATAACAGTGGGGTTGATGGAGGCACAAGAGAGGGAGACCTGTGTGGATTCATTCTTGCCATCACCATCTCAAACAACCAAGTATTCATGGGTGTTCTCAAGATTCGTCGAAAACAACGTGATCTAGGTTTCCAAGTCTGATGAGATTCTTCTGGATCTCTGGAAACCAGTTGTCAAGTACGAGTTTTATCATCTCGTGACGACTTCAGGTCGTAAATTTCAATTCTCACCGGAATTCGGTGGGGCGCTTCTGGTGCAGTGGGAGAGACGAAAAATGGACATACCTTTTATTTTGTGAGATTTTAGATGACGGAGTTGAAAGGTGGATAGTGCTTTACCGGATTTATGGCGTTGTGCTTTCCACTGACATGAGAGCTTTTCGTACTGATAACGTGTTGTAAAATCGACGATGTGTGTATAGTGGAATAAATAAAATAAGACACAAAATTTACGAGGTTCCTCTACAGTCAGTGTGACTGGAGTACGTCCTCGGGTAGCAATGATGCTTTCATTATAATTTGAAATAATAGGAGTACAAAGATAACTCTATGTATTCTCTCCTCTCCTCTTCCTCTCTTTCTTTCTCTGCTCTCTCTTCATTGAAAGTATACGGAGTGCTCTATTTATAGAGCAACTCCAAGCACGCATCTTTGACAATATGTTCTCCACATATCAATATTCTGCCAAGGTTTTCAACACTTTGGCAATGTTTTCAATGTTGTGGCAGGTATTCAATACTGTGGGCATTCATTACCCATTAGTATTTTCAACAAAATCAAAAATTTGATGGGATTCATGTAAGTTATATTCTCTCAAAAGAAAAAAAAAATCAAAAAAAAAAAATTAAAAGAATTACAAAATAAAATTTCACCGAAAGATAAACAAACAAGAATTAGCATATAAAATAGATTACTAGAATATGGACATTTTAGTAATCACATTGATTTTTATTCCGATTCATATGAATAAGTAAACCACTTATATGATTTAGTTCTTCAAAAATCTGATGTGTATGACGAAATGTTTATCATATGGTTCTTTTGATGCGATCATATGACAACTTCTCAGGAAAACTAGAGTAATTTCCCTTTGAAGTTGGTCATATGGTGCGTTGGTGTTCTTGGCTTTTGCTTTCTTTCTTGAAGCGATTTCCTTAAAATGTTTATCATATGGTTCTTTTGATGCGATGGGACTCTCCGCCATAGAGCTTCTGCTGCAAGATTAATGTATGTTGCTTACATACACATTCATAGTACTGCTGATCGCTCACTATGTTTTTCATATCTGCCTTACTATGAATTATTCATTTTTTGCTCTTTTTCCTTTTCCTTTCTTTCGGATATATCAAAATTGGCCCAACATGTAAAAGTGAGACAAAGGTCGGGCTAATTTCCCCATCTACTTTATGTTCAGGAAAATTCTTAATTCACTTCTGCCTATCTATCTGATTTCTTATTTACTGTTTTCAGGGTTGTAGCTACCGCAGTTACGTATATGAGACGAGTGTACACCAAGTACGTTAACTAATTATCTTATTGTAGGAGAAATGCTCAGTCACTAGCATGGTTTATTCCTTATTTGTGGTTGTTCTCTTCTGATAGTCCTGAGACTGTTAAACTTAACCCCCAAATCCTTCCTTTCATGATTGAGTTCATATTTGTTAAGTTTCTCATTTCTTTAGCTAAGCTACGTTTTTTTGCCTCTGAACTGATTATCACAATAACTACTAACCTAGGCATATCCTCCACTAATTGATTGTCAATCATGATTTTACGTGCCCATTGTCTGTTTGTTTTCATCTGCATATAGTTCACCCTGCTTATTATCAAATTTCTAGTACTTATTCCCCCAAAAAGTTCAGTGCAATGTATGCTTACGTATGGATGTTCAATCTTTATTCTATTATGATTGCATTGCTCCGATGTGTTGTATTCTGGGTTCACAACGCAACTTTGTCTCAATTCACCATACAGTTATTGTTGACATTCCCTTCTTTGGGCTTGCCGTTTCGTAGTCTATCGTTGCAGGACTTTGAATTTTAGATGTGATTTTTCTTTTCAAGCATAACATCTCGTTATTGCTTCAGGAAGAGTATGTCTGAGTATGATCCACGTCTTGTAACCTGCCTGTACCTGGCATCAAAAGCAGAAGAAAGCACAGTGCAAGCTAAACTTCTAGTATTTTACATAAGAAAGAAAGATTTGTAAGTATTGGTTGCTGAAAACAATAGATTCCTTTGTCCAATTTTTGTTATGATTTACTTGTTGTCGTTCTATTTATTATGGGTGGTGCCATCTGCACACCTCTTTTACCTCCCACACACCCTCTTAATTTCCGGCCATCAGATAGAATTAATTGAAGAAGATCAAGGGGCAAAAATTAACAAAGGGTACGTGGTAAGTAAAAATAGGTGTGTGGATAGCACCACCCTTTATTATTGAAGCACTGACGGACAATCTGAAACATTTCTTTTACAGATACCGATGATAAGTATAGATATGAGATCAGAGACATACTTGAAATGGAAATGAAGATTTTAGAAGCTCTCAACTATTATCTGGTTGAATACCATCCGTATCGCTCATTGTCTCAGTAAGTACTTTTTCTCAGTGTTGATGAACGGATGATTGCGGAGATGAATATTTCTTTATCTGCTTAGTTCCCCCTTGATAACGCTCTAAGTACAGTAATTTTCTCTTTTGTCCCTCCATTATTACTTTAAAACAATTTCACTCCATTTCTTTCCAGGTTGCTTCAGGATGCAGGCTTAAACGATATAAGTATGACTCAGTTAACTTGGTAAGTGCCCAATCTCCCAAGTGGTTTATTTTCGAACATTGTTATACGTATCTGAATGTTTACCTAGTGGCTATTTATTTATTTACACATCATCTTCAGAAACCCGGAACTCGTAACTTTGTTATTAGGGGTTTGTGTCTCTAGGGCACTGCTTGTTGTCAAGGAGTCTTAATACAGAAATGCCTCTTTGGTGTTTCTGATAAATGAGTATTTGTATTTATACATTCTCGCGCTCTCTAGAACTTAAACGTGAGGTAACCTTGACATTTTTGATATACACAGGGGAGTTGTAAATGACACGTACAAGATGGACCTTGCACTTGTACATTGCTAGCGTGCTTACTCTTGAGGGAACTTCTGTACAAATGGCTTGAAACTGGGGAAAAAATATAGTTGCGTTCGGTCCAGCATGCGCACTGGCAATGTCACTTGTAGATTATTGTATAACGTGGTAAAAGATTATTTGTTTCTGCATTTAGCATATCATCTTACTCTTGTGGGATCTGTTTATAAATCTAGTTTCTTTGACCGAATAGAGTTCTTGCATTTAGTGTATCACCATACTCCAGAGTTGGTAATAACAAGTAAGTGTAGCGCTTTCTTTCTGTTCGTACCCTGGGAATTAATTATAACGCGTATTTTGACAGGTGAAAAACATATCAATGGAGATACTAGATTTCTAAGAAATCCACCGAACGATCCCAGATGAGAGGTTTAATTCTGCTCTCAATAAGCTTCCCTACAAATCATAGATGGCCGGAGAAGGCTAACGCTACTGAGAAACCATCGCCTTTCAATGTATGAAGAACTCTATCAATGGATCTTTCACCCTACTGGAAGTGCAATAATGTTGTATAAATCAGAAAGATTCCGTTGTAAGTAACCTATCATGTAAGATTCTTCTTGGCCTGCTGCTTCTCTGTAATTACATTCACCAAGCACAAAATCATATCGTAGAAGTCGGTGTTCTCGAGATGCAAGGGAAGTGATTTCCGCAAAAGGTTGTGTAGAAATGATTTTCCAAAAATAAAGTGAGAGGGTAGATAGCAGAGAGTGAGAAGAAAGTACCTAGTTTCCTCTTGGCTCCAGATTTTGCGAAAAACTCCTTCCACTCGTCTGTTAAGACGAAAACCGGGTCATCATCCTCTTCCTCTTCCAATCCACCATCATCGACCTCACCATACTCCGGCAATGTCCTGTTAACAAATTGATGAAAAACCAAATCTTGAATTGCCCAAGCTCAAAACGTGAAACAAAACTAAAGCAAAAGAAAATGTTCAATAAGCTTGTAACCAACATGTGGGAACCTAAATTGGAGTTTGTTAAGGTGCAAAAATGCAAAATGTATTCATCTCGCAGAATTAGAACAATTAACTGGAACCAGAGGGACGAAAATCATACTTTGACCTTGAAGCAAAGACGTTGAAGCCATTTACTGAGAGGTAGGATCGTCGTAATACGCTTCTTTGAGCTCAGAAGGTTCTGAATTCAAATGGGTTGGGAAAGGAATGGCGGCGGCAGCTGGGGGTTCTGGATTTTGCGGAAGAGGAAATTGTAGTAATGGTCCCTCAATTTTAATCAAATTAGAATAATGGTCCCTCAACTAAAAATATATTACCATTGGTCCTTCAACTCATCAAAATGTGTATTTATGGTCATTTTCGTCAATTTTGTTAGAATTTTGTCAAAATAAGTTATGTTAATAGGATTATTGCTACAATTGGGATCCCTCAACTCATCAAAACATACATCTATGGTCATTTTCGTCAACTTCGTTAGAATTTTGTCAAAATGAGTTATGTTGGAATGATCATTGCTACAATTGGGTTAGAGTTGAGGGAGTATTGCTCCAATTGGGTTAAAGTTGAGGGACCATTTCTCCAGTTGGATTAAAGTTGAGGGACCAATGGTAATGAATTTTTAGTTGAGGGACCATAGCTGCACATTTTAATGAGTTGATGGACCAATGTTAATGGATTTATAGTTAAGGGACCATTACTGGTTATGGTGGTGGTGGACCTGGTGATGGAGAGGGCAGAGGAATAAGGGGTGATGGTGATGATGATGGTGGAGGTGGTGGTGGAGATGGTGGAGTAAGCATGGCCGCCATGGCCTACTTCCATGTGGAGGATCCATGGGTTTGTTGGATGACTGATCAGCAATGGCAACTGGATGGTTCAAAATCAATTTTTCAAGATCCGAACTAGATATGGGTTGAAAGGCCAAATGGGCTAGGTCCTGCGGTTTGGTGTAACTCAATAATTCTTCGTACAAGTTTAAATGGGCTTCTATTTTTTTAATTTTTTTTTAACAAAAGATAGCATTAGTGGATTAAAGTATTAGTTGCTAAATGGGAGGACTAAGATGGGAAATTCCTGATAAAGCAGGATCAGTAAAGATCTAACCTGTGCTATGGTGCATAAACATAATTGTTTTCTGCCACTACGGTACCATAAGACACTTATGCAAATCTTCAAAGTGTGAATAAAAACATGAACCTGCAACAAGACTTGAAGTTTAATTGGCTCCGTATCCTACATTCAAGGTTGCAAATGCCTTTTCATACACAATATCGCTTGCATAGGAAAAACATGACCCCGTTTGAAATTGGACTAAGATGGGGAGATTTGGGAGGTAAGGCCATCTCCAACCGAAAGATGGCTAGATGACTCGCTTTAGCCCTCCAAGGAATTAATATTTTAATGAACAGTGCCATGTCATATTTCTTACCATCTCCAACCGAAGGACCAGAGGATCATATGCCAAACATAGCTCTATGACAAAAAACCATCTCCAACCGACGAGGCCAAAGGGTCGTAGGGCCACACATAATTTATTATTTTAATTTAAAAACTACAACAACTTAAATTTAAAGTTTATAATCATCATCAACATCATCATCCGTCATTGTAGGATTATAGTCGGAGGTAAACAACTGTCGTCGGACCATAATTTCCCTCTTTTTCTTATCAAAATAGGCCTTACTCATTATAGTGTAATCTGAAGTGCAACATCCCACATCGCTCGACGGAGGGGGAGTGATGTGCCTTATATGTACATACCTACCTCCATATAGCACCAGGCATTTTGGGAACTCACAAGTTTCGGGTTCCGTTGGAACTTCGAAGTTAAGCGAGTTCGAGCGAGAGAATTCCCAGGATGGGTGATCCACTGGGAAGTTCTTGCGTGAATTCCTAAAAACAAAATCGTGAGGGTATGGCCAGGATCCAAAGCGGATAATATCGTGCTACGGCGAAGTCGGACTGGGATGTGACAATTTGGTATCAGAGTCACTCTGCCGTGTGGTGCGAGTGCGCCGACGAGAACGTCGGGCCCCTAAGGGGGGTGAATTGTAACATCCCACATCGACCACGGAGAGGGGGTGATGTGCCTTATATGTACATACCCATCTCCATATAACGTGAGGCCTTTTGGGAACTCACTGGCTTCGGGTTCCATCGGAACTCCCAAGTTAAGCGAGTTCGGGCAAGAGCAATCCCAAGATGGGTGACCCACTGGGAAGTTCTCGTGTGAGTTCCCAGAAACAAAACTGTGAGGGCGTGGCCCAAAGTGGACAATATTGTACGGGCAAGAGCATTTCTATGATAGGTGACCCACAGGGAAGTTCTTGTGTGAGTTCTTAGAAACAAAACCTTGAAGGTGTGGCCCAAAGCGGACAATATCGTGCTACGGCGGAGCCGGTCTAGGATGTTACAGAATGGTATCAGAGCCACTCTGTCTTGTGGTGCGAGTGTGCCGACGAAGACGCCGAGTTCCCTTTAAGTGGGTGGATTGTAACATCCCACATCGCTTAACGGAGAGGGGTGATGTGCCTTATATGTACATGCCCACATCTATATAGCACCAGGCCTTTTGGGAATTCACTGGCTTCGGTTTGGTCGGAACTTCGAAGTTAAAGTGAGTTCGGGCGAGATCATTCCCAGGATGGGTGACCTACTAGGAAGTGTGCCCATAAAGACGTCGGGCCCCTAAGGGGGTGGATTGTTAGATCTTACATTGCCTAGGGGAGTGGATCATGTAAGCTTTATATGTATATTCTCATCTTTACCTAGCACGAGGCCTTTTTTGGAACTCACTGGCTTCTGGTTCCATCATAACTCCAAAGTTAAGCGAGCTCGGGCGAGAGCATTCCCAAAATGGGTGACCCACTGGGAAGATCTCGTGTGAGTTTCTAGAAACAAAACAGTGAGGGCGTGGCCCAAAGCGGACAATATCGTTCTACGGCGGAGTCGGTCTATGACACGCCCCGACCCCGAGGTACTAGAGACATCGAGATGGTCACGTGCTGGCCGACACCCGAAGGGTGACGAAACCATTTAATTAAAACAAAAACTGAGAAAAAAATAAACTAAGGTACGTAATAAAGGCTAAAAACCCAAATAAAAGTTCAACTTCTAAAAATTGAAATTAGGTAAACACACAGCACGTCCAGAGCATAATTCTAATACAGAGTACAAACAGAACTAAGAATAAAGAAGTGCTATTACAATAAGTGGCGAAGCGGAGCGAATATGACACAAATCACTGGTAGGGGAACGCCTCGTAGCTTAGGTCGTAATCCTCGTTCCAAGGTCCTGAAGGGGGCGCAAAACAAAGGTGAGTGGACCAAGTTTATATATACAGTACTAGTAAAACAGTTATGAACATACTAACCCCCAGGTTTATGAAAACACAAGTATAATGGTAAATATAGGTTTTCCGAAATCTAGCATGTCGTGCAATGTCTTAACTCATAAATCGCATAAATAATAAACACTAGCGAATGTCCGATATAACACTTCAGGCCCCATGCCGGCTCCCCGTCTCTGAGCAGACAGTCAGAGGAAAATGCACTTCAGGCCCCTTGCCGGCTCCCCGTCTCTGAGCAGACAGTCAGAGGAAAACACACTCCAGGCCCTATGCCAACACCAAACCGTCGCTCGGGACGGACCGGATCTATCCCTACGTCCCGTAGCGGAAAGGACCACTAGGTAGGTATAAAATCAGTGAACATACATATATTGAAAATCAACTTCATAGTATAAAGTCATCCATCATCTATACTATAAAGAAGTGTTCTAAACATGTTCTAAATATCATATCGTCATCCATCAGATATTCTATAAGAACATGGGTTATAGGAAAAATAGTAATAATTCAAACTAGCCTCAGTAAGCATATTATCTCAAAACGTTTCATAAAACATAATCGTAAAGTCATGCTTTTCTGTGTATGCAATTCTACCATTAAAACATGCATTTTTAGAAGGGGTCCACTCACCGTACACTGATGGTGCAAGCCGTACCAAACAGGAGTAACGAAATCTCCGCTAAGAATCGCACCTAAACACACAATTGTTACTTTCAGTCAAACTCTACTCAAATGATTGAATTTGGGAAAACGGACATCGGAAACGGGTTCAGAACGTCGAAATTAGCCTAGGATGGGTCCCGCAAGAAAACCCAAAAAATCAACGGTCAAAGTCAACGCTGACCGTTGGCCGGTTAAAGTCAAAGTCAACGTTGACCGTTGACCAGGTCAACGGTCAACGGGTCACGGTCAACGGGTCAACGGGTCACGGGTTAGGGTCACGGGTCATGGGTTTTGGGTTAGGGTTTTGGGCTTAGATTTTTAGGTGAGTTGGGTTGGGCTTGAATCCATACGGCCCAAAGGCCCACAACAGAAAGGGTGATGGGTTTTGGGCTAACAGAAAATGGGTTCGGGTTTTTGAACCTCACGGCCCAAGGCCTAATTAAAAAGGGGAAATGGGTTTGGGCTGCAACCAAGGCCCTAAGGCCTTTTGGGTTTTTAAAAGAAATAAACTAAAAAAATAAAAACTGAAAGGGTGAGGGTATTGGGCCAAAGACCAAACGGGCCTAAGGCCCGTGGGTGTGGGTAGAGAACGGCCCGAAGGCCTGGGTGCGCCGGAGAAGACCACCGGAGCTTCCATAGCTCCGGCCAACTTCAAACACTCGAACTAGCCCCCGATCTAGGTACCAAAATGAAGCACTAGAGGAGAGGAGTAAGTTTATACCTTGGGTTCACCGTGTAACGGCTTGTGGTGGCCGGAAAATCCCTCGGAAACCACACACACTCGCCGGAAAATTTGGGTGCCTTCACCCGTGCCAAAGCACTCCAAAACCTTGGAAAATCAAGAACCCATCTCAGTAACTACATTTAACCAACATCTAACAAGACTGAAAAGGAAGAAACCATGCTTACCCAACCGGAAAACAAGCTAAAATTTGCCGGAGATGCTCGACGTACTCCGGCACCGCGAGCAGGGGAGAGAGAAAGAGAGAGAGAAGCATTTCAACGGCGATGATGGTGACTCTTCCTGAGTTGTGCGACTGTGGGTATTTGTGTGTGTGTGTGTGTGTTGTCACGGGGAAGAAGAAGAGAGAAAGGGAGGAGTTTTCGAAAAGAAAGGAAAAAGATGCAGACAAACCAAAAGAAAAGAAGGAAAAGAAGAAAAAGAAAAAGAAGAAAGAAGAAGGGAAAGGATGTCACGGCAGGGGGCCAAAAAGAGAAACAAAAGTAAGGGAGTTGGGGTGCTGCCACGTGGCAGCCTAGGGTAGAGAAATAATTTAAATTTTCAGATCTTGATTGTGTAACAAAATGAGGACCAAAGTGATAATTCTATAAATTTTTTAGGGAGAATTACAGAATTATCCTTATAAGCAGGGGTGGGTGTAACAGTCTAGAATGTGACAGAATGGTATCAGAGCCACTTTTCTGTGTGGTGCAAGTGTGCCTACCAGGACGTTGGACCCCTAAGGGGGTGGGTTGTAACATCCCACATTACCCGACATAAGGAGGTGATGTGCCTTATATGTACATGCCCACCTCCATATAGCACCAAGCCTTTTGGGAACTCACTGGCTTCGGGTTCCGTCGGAACTTCGAAGTTAAGCGAGTTCGGGCGAGAGCATTCCCATGATAGGTGACCCACTAGGAAGTTATCGTGTGAGTTCCCATAAACAAAACTGTGAAGGTGTGGTCGGGGTCCAAAACGGACAATATCGTGCTACAGCGAAGCCGGACTGGGATGTGACATGAAGTGTTCCTTTGCATATTCCTATCATCCATCTCTTCTTGTATTTGTTTAGCCCGTTCTTCATGCCTACAGTTTATTTCTTCCACGGTAATGGCATTTTGCTTCGCCATTAATCACAAAGAGGCTGCCATTTCCTGTTGAAAGACATAATTATCCTTTGCCTTGCCCTTTTCCTTCAATTTTCGGGCCTTATTTCGTCCCATAGCCCTAGATGGAACCTTCACCCTAAGACGATTTTCTACCCTTGTTTCTTGAATGGTAGGCGATCCATCTTCATCACCATCTGCAGTTGATGATGCATTTCCGAACACCGGCGTAGGACCTACTCTATGTTGAGGTGGATCTTCAAATAACACCCACCATTTACAAATTTCCCAACAACCGTGATGCTGAAAGGGTTTCGAGTTGTCCTCCATATACAATTCCTCTACTTGGCATACCTAGAAAATATAATTACAAAAATTAAAGAAAATTAATTTATGAAATTAAATGTAATATAATTAAATATTTAAAATAAATTGTGAAAACACTTACTTCGTCATAGTAATTGACGCCGGTTTCAAGTCTACTTGTGGCCGTTAATAGTGCTTGATGCCATTTATTCAAACTTATGAAGATGTTTCTTCCATCTTGAAGAACAACTTTCGTGGTTTCGGGTATTTGGTGGAGTGGTGCATTCATAGAACTCATAATATTTTTTGGACGTACAAGTCCAAACACCTTCACTTGTTTGAGAACTCCCCCTCACTCTATCTTCCGAGACCCATCTATAAGCCCTGCAAAGAGCTTCATCTTCTTTTCAGGTTCAAGCCTTACCTTTCATTGAAAATGTGGCCATTCGAAAATTATTGAAAAAATTGAAGGAAAAATTATTGAAAGAGATAAGAAAATAGAATGTGAAGAATTGAAATAGAATGAAGTAAGATAGTATGGAACGGTGAAAATTATGTGAGAAATGGTGTATGAATGGCTTAGGTATTTATGGGAAAAAAATGGGAATTTTTTAAAAGTTTTCAAAAAAAATTTGGCCCAAAAAAAAAAAAAAAAATCAAATCCTACAGCTATATAACGTCAGCTAGTCGCTAGTTTCAAATAATTAGGCCGGCCCAGGCCTAGCTGGCTAGCTCATTTGGGCCAGCCAGTTGGCCTGATTCCTCTTTTTTGGCTTGTGGGGCCCACGAGCCCTTTGACCTAGCCCTCGGTTGGAGACTGCTTTTATGTTATTTCAGGCTATTTTCGGCTCTCTGACCCTCTGACCGGATTGGTTGGAGATGGCCTAAGGTTGTCAATACTATCTTAGATCCTCAACCTAAGGCCATCTCCAACCGATGACTGGCTAGAGGGCTTGTTTTAGCCCTCTAGCCCTCTAAGATATTAATATTTTAATGAACTGTACATGGCCATATTTGACTCCATCTACAACCGAGGGCCAAAGGGCCATAGGGCTCGTTTTAGCCATATCACAAAAAAACCGTCTCCAACCAAGGGCCAAAAAGTCATAGGGCCCAACATAATTTATAATTTAAATTTAAAAACTACAACAATTTAAATTCAAACCCAACATCAACTTAAATTTAAAAACTACAACGGTAACTGGTCCAAAAAAATAGAACTTAAATTTAATGAATGGTTTAGGTATTTATAGGGGAAAAAAAAATTAGATTTTTAAGAGTTTAAAAAAACAAATTGGCCCAAAAAAAACCAAAAACCAAAAACCAAAAAAAAAAAAAAACAAAAAAAAATTTGAATACAACGGCTAATAGGCTAGTCATTGGATTCAAAATTTTCTTTAAGCATTCCTGTCGGTTATAATCGATAGGAATGTATTTATATTAAATATAAATGCATTCCTGTCGGTTATATCCGACAAGATTTTTTGAATTTCTGGCCAGCCTCGAGCTGGCTGGCTGGCTGGCTTTATGCGGCCAGCACTTTGGCCCTTTCAGATTACGTGGGGCCCACAAGCCCTCTAGCCTAGCCCTCGGTTGGAGACGGTTTTCCAGCTATTTTCAGCCCTCTAGACCTTTCGGTTGGAGATGGCCTAAGTCAATAAGTACTACGATTTAGTGATATTCTTCTTCACTTCTAAGTGAGAGGTCTTAGGTTCAATTCTCGCCAAATGCGAGTATGAACCACATTATTAATAGCCTAATGTGAGGCTAAGTCCACCTCATTCCCTTAGTGTAGATAATATCACTTGTTCAAAAGAAGAAAAAAAAACCTAGAGAAATATCACGTGACTAAATTGCAGTTGCTAATATATACATATATATATACACACACATATACATATACATATATATATATATATATATATATATTGTGTGTGTGTGTGTGTGTGTGTGTGTACGTATGTATGTGTGATTCTTTAAACATTCGTGATTCCTTAATAATAATGTTAATAATAATAAAATATAAAAATTATGGCATCTAACATCACTCTTATACCAAGATCGTGCCATATTAATTAACATTTGTCCTTTGGAATATACTTGTATACTATGACTTTTTTTTGTGGAAATATTTGACCATCACTAAAGGATTGAACTAACTTTAAATACGTGATTTTCACATATTTTTTAGTTTTTGACACAATTTTCTTTATTTATAAGCATCAGATTGAATGAATCAAATGAAATCAACATCCAGAATTAAACAAAAGTGTGTAAGAAGTTAAAAATTGTGTAAAAATCACTTCCTTAACTTTATATGCATTGCATTAACTCTTAGATTCTGTACCATAATTTTTAAGGTCATATTCCTTTCCAACAAAACAAAACAAAAACCTTTGAGTTGACCAATAAAATATGACAAAATAGAATAAACTTTTGGAATATAAGTAACTTCTTACTGGAAAATTGGAAACATTTTTCGTTGCATATAAATAAGATTTTGAAAGGCATGCATAAACCTTTTATGTTCATCATTTAAAAAGAGCTATTTTTAGTGTGTAAGACTATGAATTTGTTTATGACTACGATTAAAAGCGTTTTATGATAACTAAAAATGTTGATTAAAAGCGTTTTATGATAACTAAAAACGTTTATATCCACATTTGCCAAAAAAAAAAAAAAAAAACCACCTAAAAGTGATTTGTGGTTAGTTAGTTTTTTTTTTTTTTTTTTTTTTTTTTGAAAAGGTATGATATTCATTAATAAGAAATGGATACGTACATCAATGAGGATATGGTGCTAACAAAGGGCCTCGATAAAAACTTTGCCAGGGTTTTCAATCAGGTCGAAGGGAAAAAGAGTGTCATGCTCCAACATAATTAATTAGGAATTACTATCCTCAAAGAAAAGATCAAGAATTACATATGGGGGTTCCTCAAACCAAGTCACAGTATTACCATAACTCAAGCTCATATGCCAATGATGCGAGAATTATACGCACACAAATTAAACCCTCTTTTTATCAATTGTAGTATAAGTATAAGTAGGGATCGTTCTTAACCGGGGATTAGGAGGGATTGCAAAATCACTTGGAAACTGACTCAAAAACGTAAAATAAAGTTTAAAACACTAAACTAGACTCAAAGAATGCAAAACTAAACATTTAAAACACTAAAACAAACCAAAGGACTCAAAACAGCCCCAAAACACTCAAAACTGGCTTAAAAACACAATTTGGGCAGTTTTGAGCACTTTGGTGAATTTGGACGAATGTGTGTAATAAATTGAATCAAAACACTTATAAACACAAACTAAGACACTTTAACACTAAACTAGACTCAAAGAATGCAAAACTAAACACTTAAAACACTAAAACAAACCAAAAGACTCAAACAGCACCCAAAACACTCAAAACTGCCTTAAAAACACTTTCTGGGCAGTTTTGAGCACTTTGACTACTTTGGACGAAATTGGGTAATAAAATGAATCAACACACTTAGAAACACAAACTAAGACACTTTCTAACTAAGTTGGACACTAAAGCAAGGGGGGATTGAGTTTTGGACGAAATTAAACTAATTGCACATATTCTAATTAAAAACAGAATGTAAATATGAATGTGATGGATTTGAATGGATGGGATGACTAGCTAAGGGGTTCATCTCCACACATGTTACACTTGCATAATAAAAAGATTTCCAATTGCATTTCAATAAACCATGAATTCTCAACGCCCCGGGTTAATTAGGTCCGCTTAAATTAACCGTCAAGTTTTCCTTAAGTTAATGAATTGGATGATTGCATACGACAACCCAAAGCATTCCTCACAAGTTCCCTACATGAGTTGCATAATAGAGATACAAGCAAGAATCATTAAGCAACATGAAAACTATAAGTGTTGACGAGGCATTCGTTACTATGATTGCATGAAACTTATGCGAAGAATATGTTTAACGCGATTGTTTATAAGCAACCTCCACT